GTATCTCAAGCTACCTTTTAAGGCACTGCCAAAACCTGATCTGTATCTCAAGCCACAACCTTCCTAATTAGTCATCCTCTACCACAGATGTCCCAGGTCCCTTCTCCTGCGGTGTTTTAGTTCCTGAACTTCTAGAACTACCTTGAGTGAGACGTACCAAACCTTATGGTCCAGTATAGTCATATTAACCCTATTTATCTCACCATTGGTTCTCACATCCTGTGAGGTTTGCTTATTATGACTCCAGGTGCCTCTGGATCATTGAATAGCGGGATATTTCCATTTTGCTAGATATTATATGTCCTATACATATGTTCTTTATCTAGACTTCAGTAACCTATACCATGGCTCTACCCATGTACTTGGGGTCAGGGCTAACTATTGAACCCCTGTGATTACCTACTTCCGCCCTTATTAGGTTCCCAACAACCCTGGTACCCGCATTTAGACTGTCTTCTTAACCGAATTCTTTATCGATCTCTCTCTTACTTCTAGCCGGCAACCTGGAAGGGTTGGTCTGCCCAGGCTTTAGGTACCTAAAGGACGCCCTCCTCTTGGTACATACTTTCGGAGCGTATGTCCTTTTCCAATAGTGTGACAGAACCCGGTGATTCGGCTAGTGTGTTTTCCGCAATTAGGACCTGGTCGCTTGGTTCTTCGATCTCAGGCTCCGGTTCGAATTTAGCCCTCTTGTGATATCATCAAAGATCATTATTACTTCTAACTCAGAACTTCCCAAATAGGTTTTTTGTTATGCCAGTTCCTTGGATTTATTGTGCTATTGCTCCTATTACTAGATGGTGTGACCGAAGTTACAGATTAGATCCAACCGATATATATAGCCGTTAACCAAACACAAGCCTATTTTTCAAATATCGTCATCTGTAGGATTTGAACTCTAGACCTGCTACTTGGAGAGGGTGACAACTAGACCACTACACTAAGTTACTACACCTCTGCATATTTAAGTTTATGTTTCTTGAAAATTTAAGAAAAGATGCATAATTTTAGATTTTTGATCAAAAAATTCAAATTAAGCATCTTCTCTTGAATTTTGAAAAACTACAGTGGTTTAAAAAATAAAGTAGCTTATTTTTGAGTATAATTTTTTCCAAAATGTAGGTAATTCGCTGAAAATAATATATAACATGTCTAAAATTAATGTAATTCACCAAAATAATTAATTATGACCTATTTTAAAATTTCAATCAATTCGCCAAAACTCAACTTTGAACCTTTGACCAAATTTTTGGCAATTCGCTGAAAAAAAAATGACATATATCAGAGATGTCCGGGGTCCTGACTCTAAATTCAACTCAAATAATCTTTTTAGAGCACTAGCTTATTAAATTGAATTATATTAATATTTTTTGAGAATATTTTAAAGTAATAAAATGTTCTTAGTTTTAAATATCAATGTTTTTAAAAAAAATTGTATGTTTTTTAAGAACTATAAAAATATTGAATTTTAAACACTGCACACCAGTACTATATACAGCACTATATAGATGAAAAAAACTTAACAAATTTTTAAGCTAGTATAGTATAATTCAGTAATTTAACTTTTAATTAGAATCTTATATCTGGTTATACTTTATTTAATAAGCTAAAAAATTTTTTTCTCTTTTTATTAAAAAGCATCCATACTGTATAAAAAAAGAATTCTTATCCGATTTCACAATAATTCTTTTAGTCTTTAACATTATCGCACGATCTATGCTAGAAATGACCTAGCAATGTATCCGGAGCTTAAATTTTATGCCGGTTTAATCTCTCTGGTGATTGATTTGAATCGACCAATCAGAAGCCACTGGAACTTAAAAATCTTCACTGAAGCGGTCCAGTGACATTCGATCATTGGAAGCTATTATGCTTCCAATTCCACTGAACGTTCTAGTGAACACTGTATATTTGCATAAATAATCATCGTGATCTCTATGTGTAAGGTCACTTAAAAAAAAGGGACCGTGTTTTAAACACTCGGCATATAAAGTACATTTATTAATATATTCCGTATATATAGACCACTATACATTAAATATAGCATATATGTTGCATATTATTCTATACTATATATACAAACCAGTAGTTCAACGTGTAATTGAATAAATGAGAGACATCTTATAAAAAAAAAATTATTATTGTCCCGTAGTATGATGCATTGTGATCGTACTTTTAACTTTCAATAAGATAATCTTGTGTATCGGTATGTAATTTAATGTCATGTGCATGCCAAATTTTTTTGGCGTGCCAGACACTTTAACCGTAAAATCCCACTTCAAACCTTAACATACGAAGCGATAAAATTATTAAGATGACTGAGCAAATTTCAGTACATGATAGTAAGTTAATATCTTGCTTAATGCTTAAATTGCTCAATTCTATATCGGATCATTCAAACCTGTGAATTTTTATGGCAAGAGAAGCTGATATAGTATATGTCGATGAGCTTAATGGTACTGATGATTCTGGTAATGGAACTCGAGAAAATCCTTACAAGACGGCTGTATACGCTTTACAAGTAAAAGGCGGAGACATAAAGATATTAATTCAAAAAAGTCTCGAGGAAGGATATAAGGATATTTCAGGCGCAGCTTTAAAAAAGGCCAAAAAACGAGTTGAAGACTTGGCGAACAAAGCAAAAAAGGAGAAACTTATGTATGAAAAAGAGCAAAAAAAGCTTGAAGAAGCATATGAAAAAGAGCAAAAAAAGCTTGAAGAAGCAAAAAATATTATTTTAACCCAAGATCCTAACCTATCACCAGCTTCAAAGGTATGTTGTACACAGAGATATTGAATATGGAACAAGAAAAATCTAAATGAAATCTATAATGAATTCATCAGATAAAAATTCGCAATGCAATTACCAACCGTGGAAAACGCGTTAAAGTGTCTGGGTGGGTTCATCGTCTACGAACACAAGGAAAGGATATGAAGTTTATTATACTAAGAGATGGAACTGGTTACCTTCAATGTATTTTAACCGGTCAATTGGTAAGAAATCGTCTTTGATTATAGCTATTATCATAAATCCTGGGACAACTGAGAAAATTACCGAATCGATAAGCTACCGAATCAGAATTACAGTAATAAGTTACTGACTTAGGTTGACATCAGAAACTTTTTGATTCGGTCATCAGCAATTTTTTTAGTTGTCTCAGGATTGACGATAAACTTTGTAGGTATAAATATTTATCAATATATTTATTAGTGTCACACATACGATGCCTTGACCTTGTCGGTTGAATCAACGATTACAGTGTATGGTGTCATTAATGAATTGCCGGATGGAAAGAAGGTAAATCATGATTAAAAATTTTTAATATATATCATTATATTAATTGTTCACTAGTTTGAAAAATGTAGGCTCCAGATAATCATGAGCTCCTTGCTGATTATTGGGAAGTTAATCATAAAGCGCCGGGTGCCGAAGATGCTTTCACTAATAAGTTAAATGCCGAAGCAGATCCTTCGGTATTATACGAACAACGGCATCTTGTCATTCGTGGCGAGATTGCTTCGGCAGTTCTAAAAGTTCGGTCACGAGTAATGAAAGCATTCCGTGATCATTTTGATTCAAAGGGGTTTACTGAAGTCACACCTCCTTGTTTAGTGCAAACACAAGTCGAAGGCGGAAGTACTTTATTCGAATTGAATTATTATGGCGAAAAGGTGAATTTTTTTTTTTTTTTTTGATTTCATGCTTAAACATTTCGTCTAATTTTAAATTACTAAATAGGCCTATCTTACTCAATCATCACAATTATATCTTGAAACATGCCTACCATCTGTTGGAGATGTATATTGTATTTCGGAATCATATCGAGCAGAGAAATCTCATACTCGTCGGCATTTATCTGAGTAAGTTTTTTTTATTCATATAATATTGTGAATAGTTTACGTATGTAATAATAATAATAATAATTTAATAATTTATTCAACAGGTACTCTCATTTAGAAGCAGAAATGGCATTCATTTCATTTGAAGATTTGTTAGACAAGTTAGAAGATCTGATTTGTGACACTATTGACCGTGTTCTTTCTCATGAACCAACCCGAAAGCTAGTCTATCAACTTCATCCAGATTTTAAACCACCAGAGCGTCCATTTATGCGTTTGGACTATAAAGACGCGATACAATACTTAAAAGATCACGATATTAAAAAAGAAGATGGTGGTTTTTATGAATTTGGAGAAGATATTCCAGAAGCACCTGAACGTGCCATGACCGATCAAATTAATCGGCCAATTTTTCTTTGCCGCTTTCCCGCCGAAGTTAAAAGTTTTTACATGAGTCGTTGTAAAGACGATCGTCGAGTAACAGAAAGTGTAGATGTACTATTTCCTGGTGTTGGTGAAATAGTGGGAGGTAGCATGAGGATCTCCGATATGGTATATTCATAATATACTTTATTTTTTTTTTGAATCATGATAATGAATATGAATTCTAACACCTTTAATACTTATAGAATGAGCTTTTAGAAGGTTACAAACGTGAAGGTAGGGTAGGATACGTAGTGTGCATGTAATGTTTAAAGCAAAAAATTCTATAATAATTCATTGTGCATATATAATACTCTTACACAATTCCCTAATAGGTATTGATCCTGCACCTTATTATTGGTACACGGATCAACGAAAATATGGTACAACAGAACACGGTGGCTTTGGCTTAGGCATTGAACGTTTTTTAGCGTGGTTGCTTCATCGTGATACTATTAAAGAGTGTTGCCTGTATCCTAGGTTTATGGGTCGTTGTTTGCCATGAGCTTTTTGTTCACAAGTTCGAATGATGTAACATAAAAAGCGAGAAATTTGTGTAAAATTTTTGATAGAAATAATATTTTCGATCCATTAAATTCGCTATTAAATTATTAGTAAGAATAAACATAATAAATTATAATTATCTTTGCTCTTATAATTGAATTTGATGGTTACAGTTATTTTTGCTCTTAAATGGAATGATTATAAATATTACAAATGCAAAAATGACTGTATAGCCGTATTCAATTCTACATCCCATCAACTAAGTAAAATAACGGAAATTTCACATCATAATTCATTTTATATTAATTGATAGTGAAATGAGTGTAAATGCCAATTATGCTAGTTTTATATCGCATTTATGCTTATATTATATACATAAACCGTTTTCATGTCGGTTCAATTGGTTATTAGCATTGTAAATTAAACTTATCAGCAAATAAATGAATTAGTGAACCTCACATGTCCACATTATTTATAATATGATGCGTGTGTAGTACTATCAGAACTATCTGCTTTTAAACAGATTTATCCAAAAAATTTTCTTTAGATTCAGAATCTTATCCTGGGGTTATATCCGTCTCTTGTTCTTTAGAGTTCGAGGACGATTTAATATTGACGGATATTTTTTTTTTTTTTTTTTTTACACCTTTAATCACACCCTTTTTTCCCACTCAGTTGCTTTATGTTTATGGTGTTTTCTAGCTCGCAAGGACTCAGGACTCAAAGTTATAGTTCAAATTCAACAATGAAACGTAGTAGCGAATACGGAAATCAAAATCACGATAATAGTATTAAAAAGCCACGTTTCGCAGGACAAGGTTACAACAGTAACTATACATTACCAGGAGGTATGAGAAGTGACCTTTCACAAGGGTCTTCTAGTACTGATATATATTATCAAAATCCACCGGTTGGTCCATCTTCAATGATGATGAGCAATCCTTCCTACTCTCAAGGTACTGCGGGGTTTCACCATCATCCTGGACATTCAAGTGGTCATTTTGCTAGTATGAATGCTTACCATCAAGCCGTCCCCTCTCAATACGCAGCTATGAATCAATTCACTCCCAGCGTAAATAGTATGGTCCCTCAGTTTACCAGTGCTTTCTCTGGCGCGCAGTTTCCTTCCTCTTACCAACAAGCAGCCGTTAGTACCGCTACTGCAAACGCAACTGGTCGCACTGTATATCTCGGTAATCTTCCAGCGGAGGTTGATATCGAAGAAATGATGAATCAAGTTAGAGTAGGTCCAGTCGAATCGGTTCGAATCCTTAACGACAAGAGCTGCGCCTTTATCTCGTTCATGGACGGTGCAGCTGCCATGCTATTTTATCAAGATGCATCCACGCGTAAAATAGTTCTTAACGGTCAAGAACTTAAAGTTGGGTGGGGCAAGCCTTCTCCCGTTCCTATAACTGTTCAGGTAGCTGTTAATGCTCAAAATGCCTCGCGTAATGTTTATTTAGGGAACCTGGATGAATCCATAACCGAGGCTACTTTACGCGAAGATTTGTCTAAATATGGCACGATTGAGAACGTTAAAATTGTCAGGGAAAAAAATATCGGATTTGTTCATTTTATGTCCATATCTAATGCAATGAAAGCTGTACAAATACTTCCAACCGAACCAAAATATGCCGGCAAAAAAGTTAACTATGGTAAGGATCGATGCGCACAGAGGTCTGGAAACGGAGTAACACCGCAATATGCGTTTCCGGCTAGTTCCCTTAGTTTTCAAAGTTTTGGCAGTGCAGCTATGGGTTTTGGTTTTGACCCATATCATTCTGCTTCTGTCGCTGCCTCAAGTCATATTGATAATGGTTCTGAACTGCGTAGTCCTACAAGTCCTTTGTTCTCTTCCGCTTCTTCTGCAGCTGGTAGTACGGCTTCAGGATCAGCTGCTGGAAATCGAACTGTTTATCTTGGAAATATTCATCCAGACACAACTTGTGAAGAAATATGCAATGTTATCCGAGGAGGAATTCTTCAACAAATTCGTTATATGCCAGAAAAGCACATCGCTTTTGTGACTTTCATTGATTCTAGTTCAGCAAATAGTTTCATGTATATTGCACAACAAACAGGTGTGGTTATCAAAAATCGACGGCTTAAAGTTGGATGGGGAAAGAATCCGGGACCGTTACCTGGTCACATTCAATTGGCTGTAAGCACTCAAAGTGCCTCACGCAATGTTTATGTTGGACAACTCGATGATAATATCACCGAAGAAAAACTTCGACAAGACTTTTCTGAATATGGCGATATTGAGCTGGTGAACATTCTTAAAGAGAAGAGTTGTGGTTTTGTCAATTTTACTTCTATTATGTCCGCCATCAAAGCCATTGATCAAATTAAGCTGAAGGACGAATATAAAAAGTATCGGATTAATTATGGTAAAGATCGTTGTGGTAATCCACCAAGAGGCATTACAATTGGTGGAATTAACAATGGTAGTGTTATGAAGAATAGTAAGGGACGTAACAATGGCGAATCCGATGCTAGAGTTCTTCATGCTGGAGATACTTCGGAATCTGATGGTAGGAATATTGATAGTATCGAAGACGATGGTGTAGAAGTTGATGACGAATAGAGAAAGGCACGTATTTAGCATTATTTCTGATAATATGGTGTTTGAGACAATATTAATATATACTTATTTTATTTTATTTTATTTTATTTTTTTAGTTTTCTTATATATACATGTCGTTTATATTGGTAGCATTAATGGTAAAAAAAAAAAAAAAAGTTTAAGAGGTGGATCTGGTACGAGTGTTACTATTATCCATTATATTTCCCTATAAAAAGTATTCGCTTTCTTGCATATTATATTTCTTTTTTTTCCCTTTATTATAAAGCCTTTGAAATTGATTATATTCATTTTCTTATATATATATATTTTTATGATTATCGATCTTCAAGTGTGTTTTTATCTTCTTGTCATGTTCTATTTTATGACCTGTTGGTCTATTTGGGTTGTACGGGAGATTTATTATTCTTGAGTAATGGTGGTCCGTGATTTTTATTTTTATTTCAATGTCGGACTATGTTTTCGAAAAAAAGTTTCCTAACCATAAACGATCTTAGACATAATATCTTTTCCTTATTACTTTACCCTTTATTTTATCTAAGGTATATAAAAAATCTAGTTTTTAGTTTTTTCCTTTGGTTGGATAGGACGATAAATTTTCAATAATTTTTGTAGGGTATTTGTTAAGCTTAATTTTGTCGTCCTCTCCATTCAGATATTTTTGGTCAATTCAAGTTTTCCTTACATCCTTTAAATTTGTCTCGTTTTCTTGTATCTAATTATGAATAACCCTCTTTTACACCGTTCTTGCATTTATCATTTCTGGTATACATATTTTTTTCCTTCCTTGGTGATAAGATACCACTAAAAAAGTTTGTTTACTTGACATATGTTTAAAAAATTTATATTCATTTAATATACAGTCTTGTTTGGTATTATCGCCTTTAGATTGCATTTATTTATTTATTTTATTTATCAATTTCATAAAAAACCGAAAAACAGAAAAGAGTCAATTTTTTTGCTTTCAAAATTATTCAATTATTCGATATGCCCTATTTTTGAGGCCCTTTAATTCTTATTTTTGAAAGCGAATGTAATTTTGCCAAAGAATTTCTTATCACAATGTCCTTTATACACAATAATTTTATTGAAAAATGATAATATTCTTCGTCACCAATTGGTATTTAATCGTTACACCAGTCAAATATAAACGAACCATTTTTAATCACTAACTTTTGGATTCCAATTGGAATCTACACATAATATCATCCGTTTTTGCAGCCACAATGAAGTCGTCTTATTGCATGTTAATCAGTAACAACTTCTACTGGCAACTCAAACTGATCTATTTCATGAAAATGCCGGATCCGGTCTTCGCGCTCTAGTTTTAATTTCTTGATTTGTTCGAATGTAAGTAATTATTATAAGTTCGTTTTGAATTATTAAATAATTTCATCACTGACTCTAATAAATAACGTTAAATATTCCTTTTTTACCTCATCCAAATTTTCATCATCACCTCTCTTGTTGGCTTTCTCCTTTTGATCGGGTTTATATTTTGTTCTTTTTTTTGACGATCCAACAATTTTGCAATGTTTATCTTCATCAATATCATCATTTTCTGACGTATCACTATACTTTGCTCTTTTTCCTTTAGGATCAAACTTTACGCGCCTTCTACGAGGTAAGAGAGCTTGCAATTCGCTTGTCTTCATGATATCCTTTTTTGTTTCAACGGTAATCTGGTTACGTGATCGCCTATTTAATTTTTTTTTGAGAGATTGTGAGGATGATGAATTTTGGCCATATCTTTTTTCATTTTCGCTTAAATGAGCATCAGTTTCCTGGTGTGTACTGGTTTGTCCTTGTATTTCATTTGTTTCTATAGCAAGATAATCAATGCCGTCAGTATCAATTTCCGCTTGTACGTCGTCATACATATTACGCGAATTGTTTTGTTCCATTTTGATGGTTCGCGTTTAAGTTTGGCTTGTGGACATCATGTGTATGGACATCAATTTATTTCCTCCTTATGGTGTTACAGGGAATTTGTAGCACTAAGGGTAGAATCGTGGATTGTGTAACGTGATAGAGTAGCATATTATTATATATCGTGACAGATTAGCATAATGCATGATATATTTATGTATATATTATTATGTATATATATTAATAAATATATTATAATAAATATATGAAGCGACGATCCGACTGGGGAATCGCAAGAAACTTCTTCTTGTGATTATCTTCGTCATTATCGCTGTGTGCTGGAACCTGTATGATGCATCTAAGTGGAAATTAGGTGCGTTTAATAGTAAAACGGGTATTATACAGGGTGTTGAGAACAATAGTTTGAATAAATTTTCTGAACCGTGACGGCTTTTTCGAAAAACCAACTTTTCATAGATTTTTTCAAAGCTAAAAGGATTATCACTATCTCTATCTTCTGTTGGCGATAGTATAATCGGTTTGCGACATACTCGAACTTAGATCATGTATCAAAATAGACAAAAATTGTGGATTCTTTTAATGACCTTTGAAAATCGGGTGCCCACACTGTAATTTTCTTGGTTGATTTGTTCGAAAGACTTTCCGGTCGTGGCGTTCATTATTGAGTCGTTATTATGTGCGAACGATTTGGTAAATCATCGCCCACGATAAAAGGGCCTTCCTTATATGACCGGAAACCTGCAGCGTTACCCCTCGTAGTGGGAAATGTATATTATTTCAGTAAAAAGCAAGTTTCCGAAAACACTTGTTATTTTCCCGGTTTACCGAGGAACTAACAAGGAAACTTGTTTATTCACTGAGTAGTGATTATAATGTGGAATAAAATCATTTATACCTGATACCCTAGAATACTTACACTTGCTCATGTGGCACAAGAAAAAATATAAGTTTCAAGCTTTACATGAGCAAGTAGAAGACAGTTCTTACAACTAGCCATCGAATATCACATATGCAAGTTATCGAAGTGATATATTTTTTCGACAAATATCTGATAGAATTTAATGAAAGTTTTTTAAATCAAATTCGTACAAAGTGACTTTTAAATTCGTACAAAGTTGACTTTCAAATTCGTACAAAAGAACATTGTAATTTTTTTGCGGAAATTCTACATTTTTGCGATAGCGACCAAATATCCTAGATCTAGTGTAAATTATTAAAATATAGGTCTTTAAGAGGAAATTTTCATAGTAAATCGCAAATTTAGTTTATTAACGAGGTATTAACAGAGTTTTTTGACGGAGTATGAAATTATTAATTTTTTGTTCTCAGTCAAAAAATCTCGGTAATACCTTATTAATAGTAGTAACTAAATTTGCAAAAAATTTTCTCCTAAAGATTTATATTATTAGTAATTTATACTAGATCGAGGATATTTGGTCACTATCACAAAAATGTAAAATTATTGCAAAGTTAGATTAATAAAATCATTTTATTTCATGATCTAGATATTATTCGAATTCTAATTACTAGATTATAAGATATTGTGATTTAATTAATTTAAATTACAATATTTTATACAAATTTAAAAATCATTTTGTATAAATTTAAAAATTATTTTATATAAATTATACAAATTTAAAATTTACTTTGTATAAATCTGGTGTTAAATAAATATAAATAATAATAATTTTTTATTTAAATTTTAATAAAGCCAATTTTATTTTAATCTAGACCAAAGTAGCTTATTATATAACTATATTCTTGAATAATTATCTAATCAAATTTAATAAAACTTTTTTATTTAAATTTTATAGATTTATATATAAAATTTAAATAAAAAATTTTTTATCAAATTTAGTCAGATATTGTTAAAATATTATTGCTTAAAGTTAAAAAAAAAAAATTAAAACATCTATTAAAATAAAATAAAGCTACAAAAATTTTTTTTCTAACTTTGAGCAAAAATATTTTAATAATTATTTAACCAAATTTAATAGATTTATAGAATTAAATGATATAAAAGTAAAAAATAACTTTTTCTGCAAATCTCTAACACAAAATTTATTTAAAATCTGTCCAACAAAAAGCATCTATTTACACAAAATTTTACTATACTAACCTTTACTTTACTTTCTAAGTAAACTTGTTCAGCTTATTAAAATATATATCCCTTAATATGTAGACCAACGCAGGCAAATTTGCCTGCGTTTTTGCACTTTTTTAGCTCTGATTTACTTTT